CCCCATGCTCCGAACGGCGATCGAGCCCGCCGAGGGATGTTAAAACGAAGGTCAAAGTGACCTTCTCCTCTCTCTTTGCTTTCAACCAAGACCCTAACAAAGACCCTCCCTACGCTCACCTCCGGCCACCAACAGCCGACACTCTCACTCGTCGGCCACAACTCAACGGTGGCCACTCTCCTGCAACTCATCAACCCCGAAAAACCAAAGAAAAAGCAAAGTAAGAAAGGAAAAAAGAAAGCCAAAATTGAGAGCCAAGACCAAGTCAAAAATGAAATCTGCTTTTCTTCCCCAAAATCGGGGAAAGGGAGTCTGATGTTACAAGGGTTGGTTGGGGTATTAATAACCCCAACCACTATATTTTAATATTATTTTTTACATAATAAAATAAAAATGGGAAAAATGGTGTTTACAATGATCATATTAAAATATATTATAATACTGATGGATAAATTATATCTTTCGAAGTGAGTCAATAATTTGATAGTATTATTAGTGAAGGAAAAGTTAAAAACAATAATTAGAATAATGTTATACAAACTAACTTATTTCAATAATTAAAGAAATTATTAATCCAAATGATGAACTTACGCCAAGGAGGCGCTGCCTGAGTATGTCTGGAATGTGGTCCAAGATCCGGAAGCCGGTCAGCTCGCCAGGGCCACCTCGTCTGAAGTCAAGTACACCACTGCTTTCAGTGATGAGAACCCAAATGCTTGTGTTTATCATGTGAAAGATCCTCGCATGCATATGGCGGCTACCTTCAGTTCCACTTCAATTTTGATCATCGTCATATAAATATATTATTTAATAAAATAAATATGAATTATTTTTTATAAAACAATATAAAATACTTAATCTTTGAACTCCCATTACATTATTTGAATTAATATTATTAAAAACATAATAACTAGTCATAACTATTTAATTACAATATAAAATTTAAAAATTCAGAAAACAAAATCTTTATATAGAATCTAAATATAAATAATATCTCACATACATTAAAAGTGCAAAAGTTTTATAAATTAATTAATACATGTAATACAAGTGTTATTATTTTTTAATACTTATTTTTATGTATATTTATTATGCATACTGGGGGTACGAGAACTATTTGTGTACTTTGTTTTTAAATGAAATGGCTTCACCTTAAAACGACAGCGTTTCACTAGTAATTCTCCGAAATAAAGGGTCAAATCCTCTATAAATATTAAATACCCGCTCTTCGCCTGCGTCCAGACAATTTGGATCCAAAGCTCCCATCTGCGTTTGGATCTAAAGAGCGTCTCCTCTCTCAAACCCTAATCTAAGAACGGCCTATCTTTTAATTAGCTTCCCATTTTTCAAAAACTTTCATTTTCGGAGGGAGAAGCTGAAGGTTTTCCCTTAAAACGCCCAATATTTTACAGCTGCAGTTCTTTCTTTTCTTAATCCGACCCCGATCTAGGGTTTCGTTTTCGTTTTCCCTTTTCGGTTTCGTATTAATCGGTTGTTGCTGAATCAATAGATGTCTCGGTGTTTTCCGTATCCTCCCCCGGGGTACTTAAAGAACGGAATCCGCGATGAGGCACTGATTGAGTCGATTAAGGTTTGTTGAGCAAATCCCCAATCGAATGCACAGCTTTTGGGGGGGGGGGGGGTTCACCCTTTCTGCTCGACTGCTATATTTGTCTTTCCTCGATGCTTTGCTTTTGTTTGTATAGCAAAGGGATGGGGGGAAATATATATTTGGTGTCAGAGAGCTGAGTGTTAGTAAGAGCCTTAATTCCTAATGAACATGTGTTGCATATTATGGCTATAAAAGCTGTGAAGAGATTGGATAGAGAATCAAGCAATTTCAAGTAACCGTTTCCTTACCGGCCATGTCATCTGTTCGTTATCTGGATTTATTGTAAAATAAATGGAGAGTTTTTTTTAGTAATGTTAAAGTTTAACTTTGTGAAATTGAACCCAGATAATCCAAGAAATGAATGAGGCCTATTGTTATCCGTTCGTTTGTGTATCAGCATGGTACAGAGGCAGCAATTGTTATTAGTTCAGTATCTAAAGGAACGATGTGAATGTGTGCTCAAGTATATTCATGTATGGACGGTAGTATGGAAGTTCTATTGAAGCTTAAAATTGAATTGTTAAGACGCTAGCTAGAATTTAGTGAAATTGTATTGGCCTCTTAATGAAATGTTGCTTGAAAATGGAACCGAAGTTTTACTAGAGTTGCATGTAAATTTGCGCTGGAGAGAGGAACAAAGAATCGTGTCAATTTTATAATGGGACTAGCATAATCAATTGTGAAGTTTGCAGTCATTTGTAAATGGTAAACTTTACTACATGGTAAGAGTCTAAGAGAGAATATTTCATTTGTAATTCTTCATGCTGAAGTTGGTTCAAGGACTGCCTGTGTTCCCCTGTTTGCATTTGCCTGTTTGCATTTGCTTCCACTGTATGTTCATAAGCTGACTCTTTCTCTTGTAATTTGTAGATTAAAAGAGAAGAAGAGAAGGCCAAGAAGGAAAGGAAGAAAGAAAAGAAAGATAAGAAAGAGAAAAAACGGGAGAAGAAAGAAAGAGACAAGGCCCCGGACATTGGAGAAACCAAAAGTAAAAAGCATGGTCATAAGAAAAGGCATAAAGACGAGAGGAGCCAAGAAGCTCAAAAAGGAGGAGACTATCAAAAGAGAAGAGAAAATGAAGTTGAATGTTATGAGAAGAGTACGCTTACTGAAGAACATGGTCATGCAGTGGGACCCCAGAACTCCTCCGATAGCACCCTTAACAGCAGTAAAAGACAGAAGCTGAGCTTGTCCCCTGACAGTGGGCATAATTCTGGTGAGTGTGTTTGTATCTCTTGCTTACCTGGGAGAGGCTGTTTACTTGGGTTTGTTTTCTTCACATGGGCACTGATACTGTGTATTCGAATTGTTATTATTAATGTGAAGGAAGAATTATCCGGTTCCGGTTGCTTTCTCAAAGGCATAAAGATCCTGAAGTGCTACCCACCAAGGAGCAGCCTTGCTCTACCTCAAGAAAGATTGATGAGGCCTTTGTTCAATCGACGCATGGGTTGCCTTCGCGAAGGCATAAAGATCCTGAAGTGCTACCCAGAAAGGAGCACCCTTGCTCTACCTCAGGAAAGATTGATGAGGCCTTTGTTCAAGGGACGCAGGAGAATGTCCCTAGAACAGGCACAGAACTGGAAGAACATCCTTGTTCTACTGCCAATATTGAACTCCCCGAGTTAAATCCCAAGCTCAGCAAAGAAAAACCTCTCTCATCTTCTGGTGTATCAGAAAGTGTTGCTCGTAGTGCTCAGGCATCATTGCCAACAAGCTTGTGCAGCAGTTGCTCTCCTACACTAGCTTTAGGATTCAAAAATCTTGTGGAGGATTGGGTTGTGCCTACACAGCAGACTGAGTTAACCAGTTTTGTTGATGAGGACTGGCTGTTTCGGAGGAAGCGAAACCTCAACAGTGGGTTCAAAAGTAGCAAAGATGGAAATATTGGTTCGTCTCAAATGAAATCAACAAGTTGGCCACATGCTCACTTCTTGCCCGAGACTGATTTATATGCTTTACCTTTCACGGTACCTTTCTAAACTAAATGTGTCGAGCCGAGAAAAAGGCATGCAAAGCGTGAGAACTAGAAAACGGTTACACCTTTAGTTCTTGGTGCTGAAAGTGTGAAGAGTTTGTTGCCAGCATTTTCAGCTCCTTTCTTCCGGTTTACGTCTGGGACTAGGACTCTGATTGAGGAGGATCAATTTTGTGCGACGGCCCTAACCGGAAAATGGTTACCGAGGCTTTTCCTTTCAACCCTTATTGGTGGGAAAGAAAAAATATATATATATATAATTGATGTATTACAAAATTCATTTATTTCCAGTAATACGAGTATTACCCATTGTTCAAATGGTCGTGTTACCCCTCCATTACCATTTTCTTACATTTCCGTGTCATTGCATTTTGTAAATAAATGGACGTAAAAAATACTTGAATATTCGAGTTCGGATTATAGGAATTATGATCCTTTGCTTCTTGATCCGCCATTGCTAAAACGATAAAATGGTCTACTCGTACGATAAAAGATAAAAAAAATTAACTATATGGATAATCATTTGTGTTTTGTCTAGTTTTTGTCATTGGTTTCAAATAACATAAGATATATCACTTTTGTTTTTATTTAATTAAGACGTGATCATTACATGTTAATTGTAGTTAACAATTAACAGAATATGTGACACGATAGTTGGTATATTCACACATTTAATCTATATTATTTATATATTTTCTCAATTTAGTCATACTTTTAAATAAATTTTAACATAAAATATATATTTTTAAATGAAAATAATTTTTTTTTAAAATTAAGTTAATAATAAAATATATTTAATAAGTTAATATAAAAATATTTTTTAAGTTAATATATATAAATTATTATTAATTTAAGTATTTATACACTAAGATACAAAATATATACACCATGTTATCTATTTTAGACCAAATAATGGTATTGACTTAATGGTTGGATAAATGTTTGATTTTCTAAGTGGCCAAAGTTTGAATCTTTTATGCTCAGCTTGCTTTCTTTTGTTTTCTTTCAACCAGAAGGTGACACATATCACTCTTTGATTAGTGAAAATAATTATATTAATTAAAATAAAATTAATCTTCCAATCAAATGGTGACACATGACATAACATGTGACATCATTCGATTGGAGTATTAAATTTATTTTAATTTATTAAAAGTATGATTAAATTAAGAGAATATGTAAATAATACGGACCAAATGTGTGATTACATTAAAATATTTAATTGTTGTTAATAATAGTTAACTCAAGGTGACCACATTCTAATTAAATAAAAACTAAAGCAAGTGATCAAAAGTGAACAAAACACAAACATAAGTTATCATCTGTGTAGTTAACCCAAAGATAAAATAGGTTTATTCATATATGTTTTTCAAAAATAAATAATCATCCCTCATATTCACTTTCAGCTTCTTGGTGCCTGGTGATTGCAATGTGGTTGACCCGCAGATCCATTGGAAACAAACATGTTGCATTGCAAGAAACTAAGCACAACACCCAACAAACATACCACTGATTTTCTAAAACCAATAACATGCAATAAATTTAACCGTCCGAGCAGTTTACTAACTAGAATGTTCGAGGGGCACTAATACAAAAATCGTATCCGAAACAGAGTGCGGACGGAGGCTGGCATCGTATACTTCATTTTAACGAGAGTTTCAATAAAGCAATCCTACCATCAGATGTGTTACTAAGATCCTGAGCTGTCAGCTGGGTAACTAATATGATATCCAGGGTTTTAGCATCTTCAAGTGCAAGGAGAAGGGGAGAGCGGGATGATGGGACAACGGAATGGGCTGAAGGCATATTCTTTCTACATTTCCCTTCTCCGCTCACAATATCGAGCAGGCTTTGCTCTTTTTCTTCAGCTTGGGAGGTTGAAGAACAACTTTGATCGCTGTATCAAAAACTGACTTCACATTCTACAGTGAAGTCGAAATAAATCCCTTCAGCGTAAAGCATCTCCCACTATATGAAGTATACGTACATTTTATGAAACAACAGATACCTGCTGCGACTTTGCACTGCATTCAATATAAGCAGGTGCATCAATCTGCTTCCTCAGCTCCTCTCCCTTGAAGGAAAAAAGGGGAGGAAGGGTAAGAGTTGGATAATTGCAAATAATAAAATTCCATGCAAAAGTAAAACAGGTTAAAACAGAATAACATTTCACAAAAAGCATGGGCTGATACAAAAACCGGTACCTGGGCTGTAGAAATGGGCACAGCTCCAGGATGATCATCAAGGTACTGCTTATCGTCCCGAAGATCTGGCTCAATCGGAAAAGAAAAAATGAACGCTAGATTGAGTATATAAAACCCATGCAATTGTGGATCAGTCAGCAGTAGATTACTCGCAACTCCATATAAGCCATTCATGATTCACTAAAACTTGTAGCATAGAGAAGAACAGAACTACTCAGAAAGGCTATAAGATAAATAGCCTTTCCATCCGTTATTATTCGAAAGAAAAATATTTGCAGTTGAAGTGCACTTATGTTTAAACCTACCAAGCTTGGTTCCAACGAGAATGACTGGAACACCAGGGGCATAATGCTTCAACTCTGGAATCCACTGAAAAGAAGCGGAGGAAATTATTGCAAGTAAACAATAAATTGAATGCCAGTGTGCAAAAGACTTCCCTTATAACCTAACCTTTTTAGAAACATTTTCGTAACTGGCCTTGCTAATGAGGGAAAATGCCAATATGAACACATCCGCGCCTCGATAACTCAAGGGTCTTAGTCTATTGTAATCCTCCTGTCCTGTTGCCAAAATTACAAACTAAAAATCACCAAATAAAACAGCAGATCTCTTCAATGGTTCTAACAATGGAGTTCTAAAAGAAATGATAAAGGTCAATGAGCAAACTACCTGCAGTGTCCCACAACCCCAGATTAACAGTACTCCCATTGACAACAACATTTGCGCTGAAATTGTCGAAAACAGTTGGCACATAATCCTGTTTTAAACCGCAGTGAAAAGTGTAAGGAAAAGGGTAAACACCTTCTTAAACACAGCAATTCAAAAATAAAATCGGCTCAACAAATGTTAACAACACAACAATTGCATTAAAAAAAAAACAATATTTCATGATAGAACCTCGTTCAATCCAAAATCAGACAGCAAAACATCACCTTTCAAAAATTAAACAAAGGCATACCTTACTCTACCATCTCATAAAAAATTGCTCATTACCAAGAAGCAAGACGATGATTTTTCTTAAATGAGTGCAATTCAACCCTAAACATTGAATTACCAAAAAAGGGGAGAAACAAAAGAAAATTTACCGTAGGGAAAGTGTTGCTGGTGTAAGAAATCAGCAAACAGGTTTTACCAACGGCACCATCGCCCACAGTCACGCACTTTATAAACCTTGTAGCGCTCATTTTATTTTTCCTTTTCTTTTCACGGAAGAGAAAAGAGAGAAAGTTTAGCCTCAGATCAAGACCCGAGAACAAGTTCGAAATACCTAATAAAACCCTCAAAAGATTATTCCTTTTCTTTATCTTGTTCTTCGTCTTCTCCTTTTTCAATCAGCCATCTGCATGGCATATTGTTCACCGATCAAACGCAAAGGGAGAAAGGTTGAAGGGAACCCTAGGTGTGGAATTAGAGAAAAGGTAGCAAAAGTTTGTTTTTGATTTTGATTATTTAGAGCCGATTGAATCGTTCATGGAGCCAACCGATCTAAATCAACTGATTTCTTCCCCCGTTTTCTTCTTTCTTCTGTTAAACTGCATTAGTCACTGAATTTTAAAGGATTATTTCGTTTTAGACATTCAATTATAAAAATATCAAATGTTATCAGTTTAATTTCGGGTAAACTACACGCTTAGTACCCAATTATTATTATTTGTCCCGATTTGGTCATCCAACTATTTTTTTAAAGGCTTAAGGGCTACTTTTGTCCATGTAGTATATCTAATTTATCATTTTGTCCCTACATTTTTTTGTACCAATATAGCACTCCAAGTTGTTTAGGGACATCATCTTAGCTCTGAAGTCCATGTACTGTTTTGACTAACAAAAACGTAAGTCTTATGTATATATGGATTAAGCGATTAGGTTAAAATATTTACTAAACATAAGGATTAGATTTTTTTTCAAAATATTATTATTTATTTCAGTGAGTTAAGGGATTAAGTTAAATTTTTTGGATTTTTCTAATCGTTATATTTAGTAAATATTTTATTATTTTATTTTTTTAATAAATGTCACATCATCATCAAGCCACGTCAGTAATATTGGCCAATGTGGAAATTTTTGGCGTCGATAAACATAGAAGACTAACAATTTTGTTAGTCAAAATGGACTTCGAGGGCTAGGATGATGCCATTAAATGACTTCGAGGTTTAAGTTGATGTGAAAAAATCATATGGACAAAAATGATAAATTGAGACTACTACAGCGGTCAAAGTAGCTCATAAGCCTTTTTAACATCATGCCTAAATTGTAGTTATGTTTCCATTTTGATATCCTATAATATCCCAAATTTGTTACTAGTGTCTGGAATGTAAAAATTTGAAAGCTTAGGGACCAAATTTTACAAGTTTTAAAAAAATAGAGACTAAAATATAAATTTTCAAAAATTATATTTTGGGTATGTAAATAAGTAGTTCAGCCCAAGAGAATTATTGTAGTGGGTTTTAGATATTTGATCTTGAGAGTGCATAAAGTTTATTGAAGGACAAATATCGAAAGAATATTTGGATAGTCGGATTGAATTGAAAGTCTACAAATATTTGAAGGAAGGTAATTTTGGGTTAGAAAAATTATATGGATATTTTAAGTTTGTGGAATTTAAGTTGGATTGGTGGAATTTGGTGAGAATTTCTTGGTTTCATGCTTAAATGGGAGACTTGAATTCAATGAAATTCATTGAATTAAAGCTAGAAATAGATGTTAGACGTGTTGGAGAATTATAAACAAGTATAAAATTGGATTAAAATCATTGGAAATTGAGAGTGAAGCATTCGGCCATTGAAGGATGTATTGGAAAATGGGTTAAATTTGATTGGTTTTGACTTGAATTAGATTGAAATCGATGACATGTAGATTGCGATTGAAAGTCAAATACAAGACGAACTAAAGGAAAATGACATGATAACATGTGAGTGCAACTAACTTTTTAATGAAGCAATACGAGAAAGACTTACGATGAGTCAGCCTCGATCGTTTTATTTAAAAAGTTTTTTAAGTAGTAATTGAGTATAGATTTTATCAAATTATTTTATTTTATAGTGTATGATTGTTTTGGGTATGAACTGCCCAATACAGTATTTAAGAAATTTTATTCGAATTGAATATATGATTAGATTACATGCAAAATAGTTTATGAATTTTTTTAGTAGGCCCATTGTATGTAAGTGAGAGTTAATAGTACAATTGGCATGCCAATAGGTAGAGTGAACAAGTATAAGCTTATGAGCTGCACCAATATAAATTGCTCATATGACTCGTGTGTTTTAGTGGTGCCGAAGTGGAGTGATCTGGTGCAATCTATAGGGTATTTTATATGTTATATGATACGACATTGTTACTCATATGACTCGGGTGTCTTAATGATACACAAGGTGGAGTAATCTAATATATTTTACGCGTATTACTAGTAGCAGTTCCAACTGCATAGTGTGCCCTCACTTATATGACTCATGTACCATAGATTTCTTATAATAATATAGTAGGCAACAATACAAATTAAAAATAGAAAAGTACAAATTTGATACATAGTTTAAAGTAAATGATTTTTAATAATTGTTTTTATTTTATTTTATGCATGATTTATTTAAACAATGTTTTTATATACAATTGTTTTTTATACGTTATTTATCTTATAAGTTGTCTCACTAAGTGGTATACTTAGCGTGTGATTGGTTCACACATAAGAAAACCGACGTCAGTAGAGTAGGGAGCCAAGCAAGATATCCTACATTTTGGCTGACTAGTTTAGATATACAGAATCAATATGATCTCTTTTTTATATTCGTAGTTGGCATGTATGTATTTTTATTTTGATGCTCAGATTCGAATACGTCTGAACTCTTTTTGATCGTATGATGAATTAATAATATTTTAAATATTTTACATTATAGTTTTTTTAAATGTTATTTCAATTATTTTAAATGAAACAAAATTTTACTGACTTTTAAACAGTATATGCTTTATATGTTTGATATGACATTTTTATCTTGTATATGAGATTGCATACGGGATAAGGGTGTTGCATATCCCATTTTGTAAAATGTGTCACAATAATTTGTTAACATATGACACCTCTTGATTAAAAGGTTAATTTTTTGGATTAAATTAAAATTAGGTTTAAATTGATAAAATATAGAATGAATGAGGAACAAATATATAATTATGTCAATTTTGATAATTATCATGTCATTATTTCTATCAAATATTAACTACTAGTTATTTGCTTACAACAATTAAATAATTAAATAATTTGTTATAAAATTAAAAAATAAATGACCAAAATAGAAAGAGAAAATAATTAAATGGTGATATATATATAAAAAGAGGTGAATTCTAGTCACGAAGTCACTACTGGAAATTCAGTTGTAAATACTTTTAGGCGGCGTTTAGTTCGCTAGAATGTTTATGAGGGAATTGAAATCTGTGAAGGAATTGAATTTTGAATATGAAACATATTTGGTTGGCAGAAAATTGAATTGGAATCCAATTTCATATTATGATTGGTTTGCAGACATGTCAGATGAATTTGATTTCGGTAATGTAGAATGATAGAATTGCCCTTCTTTTTTTTTTGCTTAATTTTAGTTTGTTTTATAACTTACATGTTGTAATATATTATAAAATTTTAAAAATATTAAATTTTTATTTTATTGATTGATTATTTATTTCAATAAATTATAAAAATCATTCTAATAAACATCATAAGTTAAAATCATCCCAATTAGGGATGGCCATGGGTCGGGTTGGGTCGAGTTTTTTGTCGACCGACCAGAGAACAAGGGAATCTCCACCCGAGATCAGACCCGACCCAACCAAAATAAAGTTTCACCTGACCTGACCCGACATGAATATATGAATTAGAAACCTGACCCGACCCGAAATAAAAAAATGTTTTTATTCAATAAAAACAGTGACTTAATTGAAAAAAAATTATATATAGAGGGGTATTATTGTAATTATTCCTAAATATATAAGGTAAAATTATATATTTTTTCGGGTTGGGTCGGGTATTTTTCACCCTAAACCCGAACCCGACCTGAATATCACACTTTAAAAAACCCGACCCGAACCCAAATTTTTTTAAAAAAATCCGACCCGATCCCAAATTTTTTTTTTAAAAAACCCGACCTGAATATCACACTTACAAAAACACGACCCGATCCGAATATCGTACTTTAAAAAACTCGAACCTGACCCGAACTCGAATTTTTAAAAAAAATCCGACCGATCCCGAAATTTTTTAAAAAAATCCAACCCGAATACTAAAAGATTGATGAGGGTAGTATGGTCAAATTTCACATTCCATCCTCCAAAGGATTTCAATTTCATCATGTTATGGATGAAATTTACTTTCTTTCCCTTGATCGAATTGGATTCTAATTCCCCCTTTAAAACTTGAACCAAACATGAGAAAATGGTGAAATTGAATTCTAATTCCCCCTAATTCTAAGGGATTCCAGAGAACTAAACACCACCTAAGTTTGTGTACTTTATGAATTTTTATTTTTTAAAAAATAATATTAAGTTAACATAATTTATAAATATTGAGAGATAATTTATGGATAAACTATGTGTTTAGTACCTAAATTATCACTTTTTTTTATTTGGGCACTTAAACTTTCATTTTTTAAAACTATATCTAACATTTTTTTGTTTCATTTTAGTATAACAATTAAAAATCAAGTGACACTGAATTTAAGAGTAATCTGACTTGGAAGTTATGGTACATTTAGGGTTAAATTGTTAACGTCACTACACATCCTTGCCCGCCAAACAAACCCCTCAGCCTCCTCTTCCTCCATCTCCTGACCCGAACCCTCTATTGCCTTCAAGATGCCGACAAACAAGGAACACAAAGTGCAGTACATACCATGCGTCCAGCTGCGACTTCTATCACGACATTATCTCACATAATCCATAATGACAAACGGGAAGGATCCTGTCTGTATGCGCTGCTTGAGGAACGTAACAGATGACGCATATCTCATGCTATTTAGATGATGGAGGATCACTCTGCTGAACATTCTGGTATCGGTACCCTGCGGTCCTTCATCTTCATTGTTTCTGTCTAAACAACGCCATAGCCAGAACAGAAGAATGAAGAACAGAGAACGAAAGGCTTCATGACATTTATTATTACAACACTGCAGGGATAGTAGGGATGGGCAGGGGACTCAAACCCGACGGTCTCCGATTCGACCCGACCAGATCGAGTTGAGATTTTTTTTTAATTTCGGGTTTGAGTCTAGTTTTTAAAGGTGATGTTCGGGTCGGGTCGGATTCGGATTTAAGATGAAAAATACCCGACCCGACCTAAAAAAATATAATTTTACCTTATATATTTAAGAATAATTACAATAATACCCTTTTATATATTATTATTATTTAATTAAATCACAGTTTTTATTTAATAAAAAATAATAATTTTTATTATTTCGGGTCGGATCGAGTACGGATTTTATCTCAAAAAGTCGGGTTAATTCAGGTCGGATGAAGGGTATATATTTTTCGGGTCGGGTTGAGTTGGCCGAAACCGACCCATGTCCATCCCTAAGGGATAGAAGGGCCTCTTGATGTTTATCCAGTACAAAAACCCTATAAACACACTGGATATATATAAAAAAGAATATCATATTCAAATGGCAAAAACGTTAAAAGAGATAATTTCAAAGCATTTTCAACACCTTCCAATCCTACATTCCTAGCTACTTGAAAACCATTGCTCTTTCTATACACGAAAACCAGGTTGTTTATTCATGGTAATATCGTTTTCGTCTGGTAAGCTCGTCATTTTTCTCAAGGGAGAATTCTCTTCACGTCATGCTCTTGTTCGATACACTTGGCTTGGTTGTATACGGATTCAAATGCTTGCACGCATACACTTGAGAACCCTACCATTGCTTGAAACACACGAGGGAACCCCATTTGAAGGTTGTTCAAAGTCATTGCCCTCGTTACACTCACCGTCTTCTCATGCTTGCTCTTTTCCTCCTCGGCCTTCGCTCTCGATAAGTCCACATTTGTTCTCTTTTCTGCAATAGGGTCCTTGCTTGTTTCCGGCACGGAAAAAGTGCTATACTTACTCTCCAGTGATCTGAGCTCTGCCGCTTTCTTCTCAAAATCTTTGAATGCGGCATCTGCCTTCTTCTTTTGCTTATACTCCTCCGCTTGCTGAACAACAATGGCATGGATTACTGTCAAGAAGCTCTTGATTCCTTCAGATGCTACCTTATCCGGAATCCTGTCATCCGCAAGATGCCACTCTTCGCAAAAAGAGTAAATTTCAATTTCCTTGCTGTTTCTTAAACCAGGGTTTTTGCTGAATTGGAAAAGGCTAAGCCGGAGCCAGCCAGAAAGATTTTGAATGTAGTCTCGTTGAGCCTTGACTAAGTTGCAGAAAGACAAAAGCCATTGCTGGACTTCAAGCTCGAGCTGGAGAGTCGATTGCCTGTGAATCTCGGATGTTGGCTCATTAGAAGGGATGAAGTTAAGGTACTTGAGCTGTTGAACAATGTGTGTGTGAACTTGATGGATCTTATACATGCTTCTCCACATGGACATTGTCGCAACCGTCTTTCGGTTGGGCCCCGGAATTGGGCTTCGACTTGAAAAATGTGATTGGAGTCGCCACCGATTATTTATTTAAAAAATAAATAGGTTAATCGGATACCTTATATCTTACCTGATCTGCGTCTTACCAAAGATATGTCGGATTCGGGAGTCGATTACGGTCAAGGAAGGATTAGCACCCTTGAACCGCCATTTCGGTACTACGTAATTTGCCGGTTGTCTTAAATTAAGAAAATTGTAATTTAAAATTAAAAGGTAAAATACGATCACAATTACTTACCTTATATAGTTTTAAAGGTGTGGCCTTAAGAAGGTCAAAAAACCATGTTAGATAAAAATGTAATAGATAAAAAGGTAAGAAATAAATAAATTAATTAAATTAAAATAAAGAGAAAACAAATTAAATAAAAGATAAGATAAAGAAAACAAAGATAAAATAGTAAGTAAAATAAATATAAAAAATAAAGAAAAAGAAGAAAAAGAAAAAAAATATAGAAATAAAACAAATAAATAAAATAATAATAATAAAAAAGTAAAAAAATAATATATAAAAAATAAAAAAAAAAAAGTAAATATATATAAATTAATAAAACTGATAATAAAAAATAATATATTTATATATAATCTGAAAAAAAATAAAATATTACTAAAGTAAAAGAAAATACATAAAATGTAAAAAAATATTACATGAAAAAAGAAAAAAAAAAATAACAAAACAATTAAATAAAATGAGTAACAAGGGAAATGTGCTTATAAATAAAGTTAAATAAATAAAATAATAATAATTAAAACGTAAATGTAAGAGACCAAATCAAAAGTAAAAAAGATACTACCTTTTATTTATTTTTCGAATCGTTTACAATAGCTTTGCCTTTATATCTTCTCGTGCTTTCCTCTATGTTTTGTGTGTAAATCGTGTGTTACAATGGTGAGTTACAATGGCTATTTATAGTGATTGTGGATCCTATCTTTAGGAATTTAAATCTTAGTAGAACTCTATCCTATTTTTAGGAGTTTGAATCCTAGCAAAATTTTATCCTATTTTTAGGAGTCCGAATTCTAGTAGGACGAAAATGTGTGTTGACAGCTGCCCCTCTTTGCCCATAGTCGTGTAATGGGGATAGGGCAAAGATTAAAAGACACACTTTTCGTTCAGTGGAGTTGAAAATTAACTCTGATGTTTCAATAACTCCCTGTCGAATTGAGTTACGGATGACTCCTCCATCGTGAAGTCGAGTTCATCTTGAAATGATATGAAATTGAAGCCGTAGTTCAGAATTTGAATGAGCACGTGGCTTCCCGTTACCCTTCGGTCTTCTTCTCGGTTTAAAGACCTTGGATCGGAATCGAACTCAGAAATCTTCATTGACAGATAGCTTTTTCTTGACTTAAGCTATGTTGTTTGAAAATGGTTGCTTGTCACTGAGGCACGGCTAACCCAGGTCATCTTCTCGACTTGAAAACCTCGACTGCAACCGGAAAGTAGTGCGATTGATGTGTCATCGAGCTGAATGGAGTCGAACTCGACAATTTTGATGGCAGATAATCCTTCTTTGAGTTGGATATCCTTCGTCGTGAAGTTGAAATCCAAGTAAGTAGCATTGTTCCGAGTCCAATATCCTCCGTCGTGAAGTTGAAATTGGCTCTGGAACCGGGAAATTGTTTGTTGACAACCAGCCGTCCCTTCGTTGTGAAGTTGAACTTGTGTTGTCTCGAGTCCAATATCCTTCGCTGTGAAGTTAAAATTGACTCTGAATGAAATTTTGTTGACAAGCAGCGGTCCCTTCGTCGTGGAGTTGAACTTGCGTTGTCTGGAGTCCAATATCCTTCGTTGTGAAGTTGAAATTGGCTCTGAAATTGAGAAGTTATTGTTGACAAGCAGCGGTCCTTTCGTCGTGAAGTTGAACTTGCGTTGTCTGGAGTGGCACGATATCCTCCGTCGTGGAGTTGAAATCGCGGATGAAACTGAAAAGTTGTTCGTTGACAACCAGTCGTCCCTTCGTTGTGACGTTGAACTTGTGTTGTCTCGGGTAGCACGATATCCTCCGTCGTGGAGTTGAAATCGGCTCTGGAATTGGGAAATTGTTTGTTGACAACCAGTCGTCCCTTCGCTGTGAAGTTGAACTTGTGTTGTCTCGAGTCCAATATCCTTCGCTGTGAAGTTGAGATTGGCTCCGAAATTGCTTGTCGACAGTCAGTCGCCCCTTCGCTGTGAAGTTGAGCTTGTGCTGTCTTGGGTCCAATATCCTTCGCTGTGAAGTTGAAACCGTGGAGACCCCTTTATTGTGAAGTTTGGCTTCGAGCTAGATATCCTTCGTCGTGAAGTTGAAATCCACTCTCGAGCAAATTGTGTCGCTTTGAGTTCAATATCCTTCGCCGCGAAGTTGAAATTGACTCTAGCTAAAACCTGAAAAAGTTATGCATATATGTGATGCTATGTATGCAATGCTCTTAGGTGTGCCTAAAATGTATATGCAACATATGTTATCTTGGGGCTCTGGAGAGAAATCTCGATCTCCAGTTGCCTGTCTGGAATCTTGATTCTTGAATCTTCAAATTTTGATCTCTGATCTTGAATTCTTCAAATGTTCAAATCTGATGTGCACATTCTATTTTTGATTTGAGAAATGCTTCTCGACCATCTCAAGTATGTGCCTGAGCTGAGTGTAACGGTTCAGATGATGCTTCAAAAGAAGTTGTCTTGAAAGAGATAAAATTTGTTTCAAGGGAAACAATCTCAAAGATATCTGTTGTTTCATGAGAAACGGTCTCAAGGGAAACAAAATTATGTCTTAAGGGAAATAAATTTGAAGATTTTGTGTTTCAAGAGTAACTGTCTCAAGGGAGACAAAATTTGTTTCAAGAGAAACTGTCTCAAGAGAGACAAAACTTAGTTCCAAAAGAAACTGTCTCAAGGGGGACGAAATTTGTTTCAAATAAAACATATTTAAATATTTTGTTTCAAGGGAAACTGTCTCAAGAGAGACAAAATTTATTTCAAGGGAAAATGTCTCAAGAGAGACAAAATTTATTTCAAGGGAAACTGTCTCAAGAGAGACAAAATTTTGTTTCAAGGGAAATTATCTCAAGAGAGACGAAAATTTATTTCAAGGGAAATGTTTTCAATGTTTATGTTTCAAGAGAAGCTGTCTCAAGGGAGACAAAATTTGTTTCAAGGGAAACTGTCTCAAGAGGGACAAAACTCTTCTAGTGAAAACGGTCTTAAGCGAGACAAATCTTGTTTTAAGAAAAACAATCATGAGTGAAATAAATCTTCTTTCGAGTAAAACAGTCCCAAGTGAGACAAAGTCTGTTTTAAAAAAGCAATCTCAAGTGAGATAATCATCTGCATTAAATGAGACTGTCTCAAGCGAGACAGAATTTATATTGGAAATGTCGAATCTGAAAATGAATGTCGATCTTTCTATCTGTCTAGTTGGTTGAAGTGTAGCTTCTTGCTGCTGAGCTAAGCAACCGATATCAATTTGTAAAGGTGCTTTTGAATCGAGTATCCTTCGTCTTGAAGTCGAAACTTGACTCTAAAAGCTGCAAAAATTGTGTATGTGGGAAAAAAATGACAAATATGATGTTATAAAATGTATGCATAAGATGCATGTAACATGAATTGGTTATGTTTTATCTCTTGAAAAAGGTATGATAATTTGCATTAGGATGTTGAATCCCCAAAGATGCCCCAATATCCAAAAATACCCCAATATTTGATGTTGAATCTCCAAAGATGCCCCAAATGTTCCTCATTTCTTGCTTCATCATTGATTCTAAGCATGAGCTTTGTGTTTGAGAGTCACATGCCATTTACCAAGATCCACTCTAGAGAGACTGTCTTGTTTGAAAAAAAATGTTTTTCTTTCTCTTTTATTTTCAAAGTCATGAAAATATCAATTAAAAGAGTTTCAAAAAATGTTTAATCTCAAGTTTTAAAAATATTGCCCCTATCACGGTTTTACAATTGAGACGAATCATAAAACTAGAGTTCATCGGATATCAAAGAATTAATTACAATGTTAATCCTTCAATAAATTATAGCTATTTGACAACTGCCAAGATCCAAGCTATCTTTGGGAGATAGTCAAGTAAGGAAAGGATAAAAAGTCTCAGGTTATTGTGTTTGGTCAAAGGTTTGGCATTTGATGCTCAAAAGTTTGACATTGGATGCTCAAAAGATTGATGGGGTAGCTTGCATGCTCCTCTGCTGGAAGTGTTCCCTGACTCCCAACCTTTGTTGTCACACTCGGATTGTGCGATGCCTTATCAAGAAATTTACGTGATCACCTCAGTTGCACAATTTTTATATTCGAGCCGCCTTTTTAGGTTTTCAACTCGAACCCTCCTTTGGTTTCAAGACGTTATTCAGGATTTACGTCTTGAACCCCCCTTTGTTATTTTTTCTACCATGCATTAATTACATTGTTTTTTTGCAAACAACGATTAATCCTGATGGGCGGGATGAAATCTGAAGATAGTCTCTTCTGTTTAGAAATCCATGTATGATTAGAAGGGACTTTTAAGGCACGTAATGTAGGCCAAGGCTCATGGTTATGAAAGAAAAGGATAAATAGGCCCAAACAAGTGTTTCAGGGTGTTGAACCAATGATCAATTCATTCTGATGCCTTCAATTCTCTCTTGCTCAATTTGGATCTGCTCATATGTGTTTCTCTGGATTTTCTCTGGATGTTCCATGATCTTCGAGTAAAGTGATTCAGAGATTCGGGAATGATTGTGCTTGATCAATCTCATAGTTTGAAGCTTGATGTGCCATTTGTCTTTAGGGAATCTTTGCATGTGCTTTTTGTCCCTTTTTCTTTTTGATTTTTGCTTTTTTTTCCTTTTGTTCTTGTTTCTCTTTTTCTTTGTTTTTTTTGCTTCTTTTCTTTTTTGTTCTTGATTGGATCTTCGCACTTGCCATTTGGTCCACCTTTTGGTGTCTCCTTTTGATTGATGTCTTCACTCATGTGAGCAGATTTCTTCTACCTTGCCCCCCAATGTAGAGGGTGATCCTTGGTTAGGGTTGAATCAGAAGAAAAATACTACAGGCTCAAAAGGGGACACAAGGGATATATATTTTCTCCTGTTGTAAAGGGATAAAGAAAGAAAGCCGTTCATCATTTCATACATGGAAGTCCTCACAGAAGAGGTATCCCCAGGGGATAGATTTTCAGGATTAATTTTCTTCACATGAAAACAGTGTAGTTAATGCGTGATAGAATTATTTCGAATGGATTATTTTTTTGCTCCTTGCTCCCAACATATCTCAATGTTCAGGCTCCCGGCGAGATGCCCCAAATTGTGTCTTAGAAGAATGCTCATGTTCAAATGAACAACTCAATGCCTTGGGTATTAAAATGTCAATTTTGAGTCTAAAAAGACAATGGTGTGACTTTATTGACTCAAAGAAAGGTATGGGTGTATCAAAAAGATAAAGGTAATGTTCAAGAATTTCAAATGGAGGTAATGTCAAAATTTGGTCTTTTTGATCAAGGTATTTCATTTTGGGGGTTTGAGACAGGATAAGAAATGTCTAATCTTGTCATATGTCAAAAATCTATAATTCTTGAAGAATTAAAAGAATCCTTAATTCATTTAATATTCGAAGAACTAAAGATTAAAATTTGTTCAATTGCTCTACCTTAGAAAGTAGCATAAATTCAATCATTTAACAGATTAAGCGAAAGATCAAAGACGTGTTCAAACAAAACAATCCTCTAAGTGCAAATGGTATATGCCATGCCCCCTTCTTCGGCAAGCGCCTTACATGTTTCAGAGGAATGTTTGGGGCTTCTTACGTGGTAACAGCTAGCAGCTTCAACATCGCGGCCCATAGGATATGGGGATTCTTTTCTTAGATCATCCTGGCAAGCTTTGTCCTACAATCAGCTGATCAGGCTCCTACTGTTACAATCTTACTTCCATGTGGTTAAATTCGCTTCATCGAGCCCTTCACGACTTAATTTCATCTTTGTGAAAATGCTTAAAATGTAGATGAAAATGCAAAAAGGCAAAAATGCAAAATGCAAGAATGCATGAAATGTTCGAGGCATTGATCCAGAAAAGTGTCCATTATCATAAATAATCCTTATTCAGACAAAAATGTTTTATCTTGTAAGGCACATAAAAACAATAAAAGGTATGTTCGGACTAAATCTTCTAGACATCCATCCGAGATACTTTCTTCCATGACTCGACTGCTTCTTTGATCATCTTCTTATAACTGTCACCGTGATACATAAACTCTGATATAGATAATCCATATGTTGCTGGGACAAACTGATGTGCCCCATACTGTCTAAGTGCCAACAACGGAGCATACCCAACTGCACCTCAAAGTCCAAATAGGGTCATAGTGTCAGAATTCCCACACTTGAAAAGAACATCACTAAGGAACAACCAGGGGGCTCTCCAGGTAATATCCCGGTCCTGTAGATGAGTGAAGACTTTTATCCATTTCTCTTTTGAAGCGCCTTCATATCCTGTCATGGTGATGAACTCTCTCAAAGGTGAATACGTAGTGTTAAATCTACAGTAGGCAACCCCATTAGTCTTCTAGAAGTGGATGTGAATCCAGACTTGAAGGAACTGAACACATCCAATGAATCTACCTCCGCCAGCTCTTCGACAATGGTTGAGAGACCAAAAGGTCTCGGCTGAGATGGTCGGTGATGGGTTGACTCATTTCGGAAGTTGCTCAAACAGTTCCACCACGGCTGCGTCAATGCATCCTAAAACCTTCGGAAAGATGATCAAGCCATACAGACCTAGTGCAAAAAGGTCTATAGTCTTGCTCGTTACCTTTGTTTCGGAGTCGGCCAGTCACCTATTTTTCATCAACTCCTGTAATCTTAGCCAGTCCGTTCTTGAAAGGCTGACTCTTGATGTGTTTGATGTAGACTCGCTCCAGTTTAATGCTTTCACAGTGCAATAGTGTAGTATACTCCTCGATGGTAGGTACCATGTCCTCCTGGTTAAAAGTGAAGCAACTGTATCCCAGGTTCCAAAATTAAACCAAGACTCTGATTAAGGGCTCATTGGTCTTAACATGAAGCAAAAGTGCAATGTCACCATACCGCTGATTGAACTTCTGTTTCCGATCATTCTTCCAACTATCTCATATGTCTCGAAGTTCTTGCACATTATTCTGTTTTAAACTGATAGAGGCGTAGCTAACAAGCTCTGACACATAGCTTCCTTGAAGACTATCTCCATTTTCCTTCTGAGTCTTCTCGGACCATAGTCGTACCTCGGGGTTTTTAATCTCTTGTATTACAACACCTTATTCCATGGATTCAGATTATTCGAGTTTTAACAAACACGTTTTAGTAGATCAATGACCTCTTTTATGATGCAAGTGATGAAAATAAAATAAAATAAAAGAAAAGAAAGATGAAAAGAGTTAGTGAGATGAAAAAATAATAATAAAAAACGATCATAAAAATGAAAGTCCTACCCCACATGATATCTACCACACATGCTTATTATTCCTACCCGGACATGATCTCTATCCCGCATGCTAATTTCAAACAAATCCTAACCGCATATTTATCTTGTTCGCATGCTTTGAACAGAAACTAAAGCAAGAAACAAAGCAACCTACGTTTGGAATGAAGTTTTGGGGTGGGCTCTAATTCTTCATGGTCTCCCGGTTTAGGTGCTAAAAAAATAGTACCCGAGTTCTCCTTGCTGGTGCCCCCTTGGGCTTGCCAGACCCTTAGTCTTAAACCCATCACAGGCTTGTGTGGACTAAGTTAAACTCGAGAGGAAACATTCCCTTATGCCCATACGGAGAATAAATTCACACGAAGGCATAAGGTATATGAATCCCGAAGGTTACTTGCTAGGCCCATACGGAGAATAAATTCACACGAAGGCGTCACTTTCACCCCCACTTAAATAGGGTTCGGAGCTCGGGTATAGAGCCTTTAGATGAAAAATCTTTAAGGGCTGAAATCATTAAAAAACGGTCAGTACAACTATTTACTTCGAAAATATAATCAAAAGTAAGCAATAAGGATCGAAATGTTACCTTAAAATTTAAACTTACCATTTTCATTAAAAAAGACAACTGTAAATTATCTTAGCCTGACTCACTTACCTGTGTCCCCAGCGGAGTCGCCAAGTTGTCGCAACCGTCTTTCGGTTGGGCCCCGGAATTGGGCTTCGACTTGAAAAATGTGATTGGAGTCGCCACCGATTATTTATTTAAAAAATAAATAGGTTAATCGGATACCTTATATCTTACCTGATCTGCGTCTTACCAAAGATATGTCGGATTCGGGAGTCGATTACGGTCAAGGAAGGATTAGCACCCTTGAACCGCCCTTTCGGTACTACGTAATTTGCCGGTTGTCTTAAATTAAGAAAATTGTAATTTAAAATTAAAAGGTAAAATACGATCACAATTACTTACCTTAGATATTTTTAAAGGTGTGGCCTTAAGAAGGTCAAAAAACCATGTTAGATAAAAAGGTAATAGATAAAAAGGTAAGAAATAAATAATAAATTAAAATAAAGAGAAAACAAATTAAATAAAGATAGATAAAGAAAACAAAGATAAAATAGTAAGTAAAATAAATATAAAAATAAAGAAAAGAAGAAAAAGAAAAAAAAAATAAAGAAATAAAACAATAAATAAATAATAATAAAAAAGTAAAAATAATATATATATAAATAAAAATAAAAAAAGTAAATATATATATATAAATTAATAAAACTGATAATAAAAAATAATATATTATATATAATCTGAAAAAAATAAAAATATATACTAAAGTAAAAAAGAAAATACATAAAATGTAAAAAAATATTACATGAAAAAAAAAGAAAAGAAAAATAACAAAACAATTAAATAAAATGAGTAACAAGGGAAATGTGCTTATAAATAAAGTTAAATAAATAAAATAATAATAATTAAAACGTAAATGTAAGAGACCAAATCAAAAGTAAAAAAGATACTACCTTTTATTTATTTTTCGAATCGTTTACAATAGCTTTGCCTTTGTATCTTCTCGTGCTTTCCTCTATGTTTTGTGTGTAAATCGTGTGTTACAATGGTGAGTTACAATGGCTATTTATAGTGTTTGTGGATCCTATCTTTAGGAATTTAAATCTTAGTAGAACTCTATCCTATTTTTAGGAGTTTGAATCCTAGGAAAATTTTATCCTATTTTTAGAAGTTTGAATTTTAGTAGGACGAAAATGTGTGTTGACAGACATCAATCTGCAAAACGAGCAAAACAATAACATTACACCATGTAGTTATAACTGCAGATCAATGAAGAGCATTTATCCTCAGTTTTCCAAATTCCACACGATTAGGACCATATGATTATCTTCCCTTAGAAAAAACTGAAAATTAAAGGAATCGACACAAGAGCACAATTTGATTCGATTCATCTTCTTTGCATCAAAAGCAGACAACGAGGGCAACAACCAGCAGTGACGAGAAGAACCAAGACTAACCCTTTTACAAGCTCAAGGAGCTGAGGATAAAGCTCTGACTCTCTCAGTCTGATGATTTCAGCAGATGTAGTTTCAATGGCTTGTGAAGCAACCATCATTTGGGAGTCCAATTTATCAACTTCTTTCTTGGTTTTCTCGGTCTTCATATAATCAGCTCTCTTCACCTCGAGCTTCCTCAGATGGGCCACCCTCTTCTCATGCTCTATCTTTATAGCCTCAGCATTCTAAAAACAAAGAGAGAGACCAATATAATGAAAAAGATGGTATGATTAAAACTTGCATGCACTTGAATGATGAAAATACCTTGACCTCCTGGTATAATTTCTTCTCCCAAGCGTATATTCTCTCTACGGTGGAACAATGGCTGCTGCTAAGAGCAATGCCACCTGCATTTCCAACGTTATTGTTCTCCCCCAATTTTCCCATTCCTTCCAATTTTTTATTCCAATTCCATGCCCATGTTGTTGGGGTCAGATTGCAGCCATAGTTATACACTTTGCCTGCAACAAAAAGGAACAAGAATGATGAAATTTTGAAAGAAAACGAGGCAATGAGAGAGATCTATATATACCTCCTTTGCTTTGTGCTGAAAAAATGGAATTTGAGACTTCTAAAAGCAGGGAGAGATGGCTACCGGCATCGGCAGCTTTGAGAAAATACTCGTCTACCTCCTTCGCGATCTCCACCAGCTCTTTACTGTTCCTGGAAACGACCATAGCAAGCTCACTCCCCGTGTCTTTCGAGAACATCCCACTCACAACAGAAGGAGGTGGCGCCACGCTCGCAACGCCGGTTCTAGAGGTGATAGCCGCCTCGGATGCAGACGTGGCAACCTCCCATTCCTCATCCGTGACAGACCGAGACGCATTAGCCTGTGCGAACGGATCCCAGAAATCCCAGCTACTCGATGGAGGAGGAGGAGGCGGGAGAGCAGGGGAGGCAGTGGTAGTACCACAAGACGTCCAAGTGTCAAAACAAGGACTCATGGACGGCGGCGGCGGCGGCATATGGTGGTGTCAACACACATTTTCGTCCTATTAGAATTCAAACTCCTAAAAATATGATAGAATTTTGTTAAGATTCAAACTCCTAAAAATAGGATAGAGTTCTACTATGATTTAAACTCCTAAATATAGGATCCACAAGCACTATAAATAGCCATTGTAACTCATTATTGTAACACACGATTTACAGACAAAATACAGAGGAAAGTACGGAAAATACAAATGCAAAACTATTGTAAACGATTCGAAAAGGAAATAAAATGTAGCATTTTTTTTGATTCGTTCATTTCTTGCATGTGCACGTTATTTTTCTTGAGATTTGGTTTGAATAACCCAAAACGTGAGTTGCGTCGATAACAAAAAATGGGTGGGGTTTCGAAGTTTCGAACCTATATCTACCCCGAGGCGTGTTCATTTTTTATCTCCTAATGCGCAATATCAACGTTAATTGTCTTTCAAATTTGGCCCAAATCTTTATTTTTCTTTATATTAGTCCTTTTATTTATTGTATGGATATTTTTATTTATTTATTATTTACATTATTGTCATTATATAAATATATATACGTCATGATTTTTTAAATGATTTTCAATTGATTTTTTACACTATATATTATTATATATACATATTTTTTTATTATATTCATTTGGTTATTTTTTAATATTATTATTTATATATATATATATATATATATATATATTTAAAATATTTTACTTATAACGTATTATTACTATATATATATTGTAATTATCTTTATTTAGTTTTTTTACTTTATCATTATACGTGTATATATATATATATATATATATGTTTTAATAGTTTATTTATAAGTCAATTATCATTATATGTATACTTTTATATTTGATTTATATTTTTTATTTTTTGTTTTTGGTTTTTTTTATTTATATTATATTATATTTTCATATTACTATCATTATTGTTATGATTATTATTTTTCTATTTTACTCATTTATAGATATATATATTTTTTAATATTTCATTTATTTATTTATTTATTTATTTTTACTTATTTTTATTCTTCATTTTTTTCATTTATTCATTTTTCCCTCTAACACATCTTATGACTTTTTAAGGGTATTGTCGTCAATTAATCAGAGGTAAGTAATTCATGATCAAATTTTACCTTTTAATTTAAAATTACAATTTTCTTAATTAAGACAACTGGAAATTACGTAGTACCGAAAGGGCGGTTCAAGGGTGCTAATCCTTCATTGACCGTAACCGACTCCCGAGCCCGTCATATTTCTGGTAAGACGCAGATCAGGTAAGAAATAGGGTATTCGATCAACCCATTTATTTTTAAATAAATGATCGGTGGCGACTCCAATCCACATTTTTCAAGTCGAAGCCCAATTCCGGGGCCCAACCGAAAGACGGTTGCGACAACTTGGCGACTCTGCTGGGGATTCTCAAGTGAGTCAGGCTAAGGTAATTTTCAGTTGTCTTTTTAACGAAAAGGGTAAGTTTAAATTTTAAGGTAACATTTTGATCCTTATTGCTTACTTTTGATTATATTTTTTCGAGTAAATAGTTGTACTGACCTTTTTCCCAATGATTTCGGCCCTTAAAGTCTTTTTTCATCTAAGGCTCTAAACCCGAGCTCCGAACCCATTTTAAGTGGGGGTGAAAGCGATGCATTCGTGTGAATTTATTCACTGTATATGCCTAGCAAGTAGCCTTCGAGATTCATATACCTTATGTCTTCGTGTGAATTTATTCTCCGTATAGACATAAGGGAATGTGTCCTCTCGAGTTTAACTTAGTCCACACAAGCCTGTGATGGGTTTAGGACTAAGGGTCTGGCAAGCCCAAGGGGGCACCAGCAAGGAGAACTCGAGTACCGTTTTTTAGCACCTAAACCGGGAGACTTTGAAGAATTAGAGCCTACCCCAAAACCTCATTTCAAACCCTAGGATGCCAGAATTATTTCATGCTTTACTTTCTGTTCAAAGCATACGAACTAGACAAATACGCGGTTAGGATTTGTTTGAAATTAGCATGCGGGATAGAGATCATGTCCGAGTATGAATACTAAGCATGTTCGGGTAGATATCATGTGGGGTAGGATTTTTCGTTTTATTATTTTGATTTACCTCACTATTTTTTTTTTATTTTGTCCTCTTTTATTTTGTTTTCATCATTTGCATCATAACGAGAGGCCATTGATCCCTAAAAAGGTGTTTGTTACACAAAATAATCTGAATTAATGGATAAAGGTGTTGTAATACAAGAGATTAAAAACCCCGAGGTACGACTATGGTCCGAGAAGACTCAGAAGGAAAAGGGAGACAGTCTTCAAGGAAGCTATGTGTCAGAACTGGTTAGCTACGCCTCTATTAGCCTAAAGCAGAACGACATGCAAAAGCTTCGGGACATCTGGGGCAGTTGGAAGAATGATTGGAAACAGAAGTTCAGTCAGTGACATGGTGACATTGCACTTTTGCTTCATGTTAAGACTGATGAGCCCTTAATCAGAGCCTTGGTTCGATTCTGGAACCCGGGATACAGTTGCTACACTTTTAACCAGGAGGACATGGTACCTACCATTCTAGGAGTATACTACACTATTGCACCGTGAAAGCATTAAATTGGAGCGAGCCTACATCAAACACATCAAGAGTCAGTCTTTCAAGAACAGACTGGCTAAGATTGCATGAATTGATGAAAAGTGGGTGATTGACCGACTCCGAAACAAAGGTAACGGGCAGGGAATTGAGTGGATCCACATAAGGAAACTAATGAATGACCACCCTGATGAATGGAAGACTATAGACCTTTTTTGCACTAGGTCTGTATGGCTTGATAATCTTTCCGAAGATTTTGGGATGCATTGACGCAGCCGTGGTGGAACTGATTGAGCAACTTCTGAAACGAGTCAACCCAACACCAACCATCTTAGCCGAGACCTTTCGGTCTCTCAACCATTGCCGAAGAGCTGGCGGAGGTAGATTCATTGGATGTGTTCAGCTCCTTCAAGTCTGGATTCACAACCACTTCTGGAAGACTAATAGAGTTGTCTACCGCCGATTTAGCACTACGTATTCACCTTTGAGAGAGTTCATCACCATGAAATGGCTTGAAGGTGCTTCGAAGGAAAAATGGATGAAGGTCTTCACACATCTTCAGGACCGGGATATTACTTGGAGAGCCCCCTGGTTGTTCCTTAGTGACGTTCTTTTCCGATTTGGGGATTCTGACACTATAACCTTACTTGGACTTTGAGGTGTAGTTGGGTATGCTCTGTTGTTGACATTTAGACAGTATGGGGAACGTCAGTTTGTCCCAGCAACATACGGATTATCTACATCAGAGTTTATGTATCACAGTGACAGTTATAAGAAGAAGATCAAAGAGATAGTCGAGTCATGGAAGAAAGTATCCCGGATAGATGTTGTGGCTGCTAGAGATATGCTTACTCCGGATTATGTGGAATGGCGAAGATTGAGAAAGAATGATAACATCCCGGTGCCAGACTGTGAGGACACACGGACCATGGAGAAGCATCTCAGGCATGTCCCTTCTGGACTTGAGATAGCCAAACAGAGTTTGAAGCTGTGAACAACAATGTTTTCAAAACCGGACCGGACATTGAACCGGTGAAGGTACTAGTTCACTGGTTCATTGGTTCAACCGGGTTCAACCGCGGTTGAACCAGATTTTATATAAAAGAATTTTTTTTTTAATTTTACATAATATTCAAAGCAATATTAATATATATATAACACTTTTTTTAAGTTTACAATATTAAAAGGTATAAAAATATCACAAGTCATAACATGTATAAATGAAAAAACATAAAATCAAGTGAAACAAAATGATTCAAATCAACTACAACATAATATTTAAAGTAAAACATATTAAATAATAAATATAATTATATAAATATAATTATATAACTATAATAAAAAAATAAAATTGGGGCTTAAAAAAATCATAACAAATGATGTCATTTGGTTTAATTGTTTAAAAAAACAATCTCATATGGCTAAGAAACATAGAAGAGTATCCCAAAAGTTTAAAGAGTAAAAATATGAGAACAAAACAATCTCACATGGCTAAGAAACAAAGAAGAGCTCCCAACTTATTTCTATAAATAATAGAGGTAATTTGACATTCAAAATCATGGAGCCTTTTGGTGAGCACAAAGCGAACTACTCTTTCGCTTCAATTGAGCTCAAATTTTAGGCTTCAATCGAACTTCTAAATTTTTTTTGAGTTCGAGCCTTTTCGATTTCAAGTTTTAATATTATATTTGAGTTGATAATTTTTAGCTCGTGAGTTTTTGAGTCGAGTTGAGCTTACTTTTAAAGTTTTTGAGTTCGAGTCGAGCTCAGCAATACTCGAATTTGACTCGGCTCGTTGAACAAACGACGTCGTTTGGTTTAATTTTTTTTAAAGAAAAAAAAAGTGAATCGGCGGTTCAAACCGGTTTTCAGCAGGTTCATCCCGGTTTTCAACTGGTTTTTCCGGTTCTGTGCTAATTCGGTTTTGGGAGTTAACCGGACCGGACAGGCCATCGTTTCACGGTTCAACCGGTCAAACCGACCGATCCGGTCCGGTTTTAATAACACTGGTGAACAATGAGCTGGGGAAGAGGATAAAGGAACTTAAGGCTGAGCGCTATCAGTGGAATACTCTTAGAAAGATCGAGCAGACAAACTAGAAAGAGAACAAAAAAGAGTCCGTTTAGAGCTTGAAGACTTGAGAAAGGGGTATCAAGATAAAGTCAATGATAACTCCAAGTTGAAAGTGGCTTCTAAATACTGGAATGAGAGAGCTTGGAAGGAACAGATGAAGACTGCCCAGAGGCGCTTAGCAGGCAGTCAGCAACAAAACCAATGCTTGAGAATCCGGATGGCTGATCTGGAGAAACAACATGAGAGAGATGGCAAAACAATAGCTGAGTTAGAAGCTATTGTAGATGGGTTCAAGAAGCAAGCAAGCAAGCTTCAGTTAGTGCCCTTCGACGGATGTTTACAGTG